TATGGAGTCTGTGCTAAGTCTGGCTAGTTTGTGCCAGCACTGAATTGCAGCTGGGTTGAAATGCAATACTCCCCCTTCAGAATCCAAGCCTGGGGTGTTTGGAGGCAGAGGTTGAGTGGAGAGGAAGAGAATGAGGCACTAAAACTGCTAAAGGTGGATTTATTGGAAAGCTAATGAAGCTTGGGCTTTAGGCCTCTCACTCACAAGCTCCTTCCAAAGCTCTGGGAGGACCCCTCACTATGTGATCCCAAATACAGTTACATACTTTTATACAATTTGCAAACTTAAAACATTTTTGAATTGCTTTCTTTAAAAAGCTCTAGGACCCACCCAACCATCAGATTCTAGAAGCTTCAGGTTTGACAACCCCTGATGGTGACTTAGCAACTGTTGAGGAAGGGGCCAGTTTCACTGCACCTTGCATGTTCTGGCACAGTGTGGAGAAATCAGTCACGGAGGGTTTGCAGACTTCCAAACAGAACACAAAAGAGCTAAGAGCACCATGAGGCCAAAGAGGCCAGAGGTCTTATGAGATGTGAGAATGGAGGACAGCTTCTAACTAGTGCCTGTGGCCAGGCTCCCGATTTCAATAGCATGTGCCATGAAGGTCTCTAAAACAATGAGATGAAACCAGCTGCATGTAAAGACCTCCCAGGACAGGAGCAGACCAGCAGCTGTATGCTGAGGTCAGTGGAGACCCATGGGGAGCAGAAGAACCAGGATGCTCGCCCCCAATGCCATACTTAAACACCACATCTTTATCCAGATGCCACCTTGGAGAGGAAGATGGGATGGGAGCCCCAAGGGAAAGAGAGAAACAGCCCAGAGGGTAAGTGAATGTTGAACTGACTACCACAAAAAGATGACGCTAACTCAAGACCAGCTAACACTAAAGACATTTAAGTTTCCTCAGTGGAAATATGAATTTCAAAACAACATAAAATACCTTAAAAAAAAAAAAACTGAAATGTGTTTGAAATTGTGATCCTCATGATTAAAAACAACATTATGAATGCAGAAAAAATTTTAAATTCCACCAACTAAACAGATTCTCTAAAGGACACTGTAGGAATTTTTAGCATGCCATGATTACAAAATAAAACCTGTTTACAATGAAACCATAACACCATTTGCAAAGAAAGTGACCATAACACTTAAATTTAACCTAAGTGTGCTGAGGCAGGGATAGCTAAATATTCACCAAAATTTTGTTTTCCTGGGCTCACAGCCAGACCACATTTCCGTCTCTTTTGCAGCTGGAGTGGCCACATAACCAAGTTCTAGCCAATGGAATTATAACCATTTAGGCAGGGCCCATTAGACTTCCATACTCACTACTTCATGTTGTTTTCCCCACTTCCAGCTCAAGTGGATGGAGATGACCAAGTTGGCAGAGGCTCTGTCAGCCTGGCTCTCTGAATGACCCTATGGAGAACAGGTGTCCTCACCAATCAAGAACACCTACTATGGACTTTCATGGGAGTGACAAATCAACTTTTATTTATTTTTCTGGATAGGTCCATGGACAGGGCATGTTGAGGTCCATCTATGGACATTACCCACATCTATCTATACCCTTATCTGTCACTCCAGTGCTATTTCAATTTGGCAATTGATGGGCACTTAGTATTTGTACACAGAAGTCCTAAATTCTAACGAGATACAGAGCCAGCTTATCAACTGGTCAGGAAAGCAGGCAGGTTGGCAACTACCAAGAATACTAGGAAACTGTAACTGAAGGACAAGCAAAGAAATGTTAAGAGGACAATTAAAAGTGCAATGAATATTTATCTGTGAAGGCGCCACAGAGTGGGTAGCAATTGAACTGGGCCTTGAAGGAGGAGGAAAGTTCAAGAGAAAGAGGAAGGTAGAAAAGTTCAATCCAGACTTACCATGAGTTTGCAAACATTTTATCCATGGGGCTGTGATGCTAAAGACAGAAAAAAATATTGTTCTGTTCACCCCAGGGAAAAGAATCAAGGCCTGTAAGGAGAAGCTACAAGGAAAGAAGATTCTATTCAAAGGGAGGAAGAACTATTAATCAGAGCTGACCATGAACTGGAAGGGCTACACAGCAAAAAAAGGTAGTTTTTCCTTTTAGGGATGGCCAGCCTCCTGGCACAGAGATTGCAGAGAATGTGATTTAAGCAAGGGATGGGAAGCTGTTCCATTCAACTGCCTTGCAGCTCTGCGATGCTATGTATCTTCGATGTCTCTGCCAAGCAGGCTTTGTAAAACATTGCCAGGAAAAAGAAGAATTATTTCAGCCCTGTTACAGCATTTCTTACACAATGGTCCTTGCCAAACTCCCTTTCAAGGCCATGTTGGCTGGGTTCACGCAATGTGTTAAATCATAAGCCAGTAGAGAACATCTCTTCACATCCAGGCCCATGAGAACCCCTTCAATATCATTTTATCATCAAAAAAGCTTAACAGGCTAATATCAAATAGGATTGCTGCTGGTGAACACCAATGACAGGAAGCATCTACTTTGCATGTTTAGGCCATGGGGCATGTTGCATCCATTGCATGTCCTAGTTAATAGCAAGTTGCCAGTTTCATACCAAATATGGGCATGCAGTTTTCAAAGGATTAGATCCAAAAAGATATGTTACAATAAAGCTGTTTTGAGAATAGTTTCATCCTTCTTGGATGACTTAGTATGTTGCAAGGCATTGTAGAATTACAATTATAAAAACCAATTTTCACAGTGTAGTTTTGTAAAACAAACTAATTTTCCATTTTTAAACGTGTGTGCTGTAGATAAAAGAAGTCTACTAGATGCACTAAAAAGAGAAATGCTCTCCTAACACTGCTGATAAGTTAGTCACTTTCCCTTTCCTCTTAAGTTTGTACTTTCATTTTCACAAACACTCACTGAGTCTTTATGCTAGGCACTGTGTTAATCATCAGGGGTAGAAACTGAATGAAAAAGAGAAAAAAAAGAAACAGATGTCTTAAACTGGAAAACTTTCTGAGATTCATAATGTTGTTTTTCTTAAGGGCAATTCCCAATGATGATTTTAAAAAAGTAAGTTCAGCTACATTCTTGCCCAATAAACAAGGTTATTTTGCTTTTAATGTCTGGAGAGTAAACATATCAAAGCTTAGCTTTAAAAATTTTGCCCAGCCAGGCACGGTGGCTCACGCCTGTAATCCCAGCACTTTGGGAGGCTGAGGCAGGTGGATCACCTGAGCTCAGGAGTTTGAGACCAGCCTGACCAACATGGTGAAACCCCATCTCTACTAAAAATATAAAAATTAGCCAGCCATGGTAATGTGCTCCTGTAGTCTCAGCTACTGGGGAGGCTGAAGCAGGAGAATCACTTGAACCCGGGAAGCAGAGGTTGCAGTGAGCTGAGACCGCACCATTGCACTATAGCCTGGGTGACAGAGAGAGACTCTGTCTAAAAAAAAAAAAAAAAAAAGGTAGCCCAGATCATTATTGTCCCATCTGCTGTAATAATACTCCAGGTACTCAATTTATTGCTTAAATAAAAGTTTTCCCAAGCTCAGAAATATATATTAACCAAAAAACTCTTCATATTATAGAATGAATCCTAATTACATAACTATAATCTCAATAGTGAAACAAAATTCATAAAATCATATTCTGAGGTCACTGGAATATTTGACTGGATATGAAAATAAACTAATCACACAAATGTTATGTTTTATACACAATTGTTCAACCACAAATAATGAGCAGTGCTATTCAGAATCACAGGCTCCCCCATCTTTTCAAAATTCAGGTCACATCCCTCTCATCATACAACATCCTGAGTAAATCACATCTCAAGCGGTGACAAGACCTGTTCACCATCGACATATAATCTCAAAATTCTGCCCACTGCCTTTCTACCCACCTACCTACTTAAAACCTGGGTCCTAAAATCCTTGTTTCACAAAGCTTGGGAACTGTATTCCCTTTGGATAAAACGAACAACTCCCCGAAGCTTTTGTTTTGCTTGGTGTTTACCCAACTGCACTTACTATTTCCAGCATGCATTTACTGGCTGTGTCTGGACTGCATGTCCCAGGTTGCTGTGCCTTTCTAGGTACTAAGTCTACTCCCAAAAATGGGAAGTAGAGCTAACCCTTCAAACGGAACAGTCACCCGGGCCTCAGCGTTCACACATGCGACTCCTAAGAGCATTTTGATATTTCTGTGCTGCCCAGGGAACATTCTGAGATTTCAGTCCTCAGTCAAAATGAGAAATCACCATTTTCCAAAGGGGAAACAACATAACCAAACTCTCAAATAACATTTCCAAGCATCGGTGACCCAAGTCCCAGGCTCTAGTCTGTGTTTGTGAGGGACAGATCAGATCAAGCCTAAATCAAGCATGCAGATACATAAGCACCCACCGAATCGATTCTGTGCTTTCTAACCAGCTGTGTGTCCTGCATAGCCATGTCACCTCTCTGGGCCTCAATTTCTTCATCAAACCAAGCAAGTACAAAGGCACCTTCCAGCTCTAAAAGTACTATGGGTCTACACAATAACAACACAGTTAGCAAAAACTCTGCTATCCCTGAAAGATCTGTGCAGACCCTGCAGAAGTAAAACCTCGATTAAAGACCACGAAGTGAGGGGGAACAATTAAAAAGATCTCTAAGGTGCCCTTCCACATTTTGATTCTCAGATGGACAGTGAGGCATGACCAGGCAATTGGTCATAAAACATTAGTAGGTCTCATAGCTCTCATAATCCTGTGCTTCCAATGGCCAGTTCTGCTCTAGCAAAAAAATTCTGCGTATTTTTTCCAAGCACTGCCTTGGAATGCAGAATGACTTTATCTTTTCATGCAACAGCAGAACGACTTTATCTTCTGTGTTCAAAAGCTCCTTCCCTTTGATTGTGAACTCATCCTCCTCAGAAAATTCGATTTGATTGCAAACTCATCCTCCTCAGAAAATGCCAGCTCTAGGCCCCTAGTTTCTCCAAGCCACCAAAAACACTCCAGCTAGTGAGAACAGGTTAGAAAAGCCACACTCACCCTTAGCCACTGCTTCTCTGTGAGGGCGTCACTGTAGTCCACGTCACGGCGCTGGCGAGACCCCCTCCCAAATATTTTCTCCTCCTCTTCTTCACAGGTGAGCCTTTCTACTTCGGCGTCATCCTTAATGATCCAGGAGGGCAGCTCATCTTCCTCCATTAAGCGGGGCTTGCGTTTCGGGTTCCGGGCATCTTCCCTCCGCCGGTCCATGTCCATCCGCTGGAGACATTAATAAGAGGGTCACCGAAAGTCAGGGCTTCTGTATGGCACAGACTTTACAGTACATACAACTTCCCCAAGTCATTCCCTATGGCTGCAGGGTCCCTTTCAACCTCTCTCATCCTGGTTGACTTGTTCTAGCTCATCCCTAAATATCTAGGGAGAGATTCCACTAAGGAAAATCCCTTCCCTTCCTCTGTACCCATCTTTTGAAACTTATTCACACATTTAAAAAGCACTCTTTCAGAATTTCCTTTTCTTAGTCTGTGTGTGTACAAAGCTTCCCCTTTCAAGTAATAGTGGAAAAACTCAAATTGGGAATGCATTTTAAAAATATGACCTCTTGGCTATACACCTCATTGCTTCCCTGGAAGAAACTTATTCTTTGAGTATGGAAAAGAAAGATCTTTAAGAAAGTTTCCTTTTATTCAGTAGGGGTTGTGCTTTGAATTGAACAATCAGGAATAAAAAAAAAACGGTGACCCAAGGTATCAGTACAGAATAGCTAACCACAGCTGGACATGTGGAAGAGACATAAATGGTTTCACTAGTCCATTGGCCATGAATACACTAAATTTTCAATACCTTGTGGGCACTGCTCATGGGAGGAATGCTCTTGAATTCTTTACATTTTAAACTTTGTGCTCTTACAAAAGTATTATACCACAGAGAGACAGAGCTCAGAGGTAACCGCGTTCCAACTGCTCTAGTTGTAAGCGAAATGGCTTCCTTTCAGAGCCTTCAAAATGCCTACTTCCCCACCTTCTCTCTTTTTAATAATCCAGTTCACTTGTAAATAAACTTAGGGCCACACACTTGGCTTTAATCTGTACTAAACAATACGATGGATTTTACAAAAATAATCTGCCACTACATTTCCATCGACATTAGTTCTGTATAAACACTAGCTAGATGTGTCATTTCCACAATGAAATGGACCATCAATCATTGCTATTTACCTTTTCCCTCTTCCTTTGGTTCTACCGTACTGAAATCGGGATTCAATATAATGTTTTCTTAAAAGCTAAAACTGATAAAATGTAAATAAATATCTATGCATACCCAAATATGACCTCTAGAACCTATTTTATTTTTATTTATTTTTTTATTTTTTTGAGACAGAGTCTCGCTCTGTCACCCAGGCTGGAGTGCAGTGGCGCGATCTCGGCTCACTGCAAACTCCGCCTCCTGAGTTTACGCCATTCTCCTGCCTCAGCCTCCCGAGTAGCTGGGACTACAGGCACCTGCCACCTCGCCCGACTACTTTTTTTTTTTTTCCATGTTAGCCAGGATGGTCTCGATCTCCTGACCTCGTGATCCGCCCGTCTCGGCCTCCCAAAGTGCTGGGATTACAGGCTTGAGACACAGCGCCCAGCCTTAGAACCTGTTTTAAAATTAGTGGTCAAAGCCCTTTAAACTATGCTTCTTCCACATTTTTGGAAGTCATTACATTTCCAGAATCTGGTAGGCTTGGGAGACGGGTGAAGTCCCATTGGTTGATAAATGTGGGCACCCTGCTCTGTCATGTGCTATAATTAGCTCACGATGCTTAGTCCTGTCTTCTAATGCTTTGGTATCAGAAATGGGATCCACCAAACCTTCCTAATTGGCACACAGAGGTTGCCTTGTTTACAGCAGTATCTACAGAGGGGCTTCATGAGGCAACCTCCTAATAGTTATTAGATAGCTAGTAAGAAAAAAACTTTTTTGTTAATATCCTATACTGAGATGACAAAATATTGCCATTTCAGTCTTTGGTTTTACTGCTACTACTATCTATGCCAAAAAATAGCCTTTGAGGTATGTTTAATCAATATATTTCTATAGGCATTACTATTACTAATATATTTGTCCACAATTGAGAAAATAAATCTTTTCTGACAGAAAAGGAAATTATGCACTTGTTTCTTTTTTCTTTTAGGAAAGGTAGATTCGATTAAATAAGATAAGCTTAAAGTCTTAATAACTGCATCTCTCCCTAGAGATTTCTACCCACAAAATACCAATATAGAATCTTAAGTCAACATTAAGGCAAAAGTCAAACTTACTATGTAGTTACTTTGTGAATAATTGGCCTTGAGATCTGATTATTAACCTTATACTTACAAGTACAATTAGTTTTAAAAGTGCTTTTTCCCTTTGTAGAGAACATAGCATCTACAAGCTTAATGTTTGTATGTTAGCAAAATGTTTCAGATACATATCTTGAGCTGCCAAAGATCTTTCTGGTAAAATTCTTAAGTAATTGGTATAAAAGATAACTTTTTCTGAAGTTACATTTTGAGAAGGAGAAAGCAAGACATGCTTTTTAAAAAAGGTTTTATTTTAAAGAAACTGCTTATCAAGCGTAAACCACAGCATCTATGATATAAAATCAAATAAGTTTGCATTAATTTTAAAGAGAACTCATTCTTTCCTAATAAAGGATAAAGAGTTTAAATATTTAAAATCCATAGATTTATCCTAGCTCACATTCCATTCTTGTTTCTCACCAAACTTTTTAATCTGTAGCTGATACAGATTCAAATTTTATTTCCTGCCCCCAGGTAGGGATGCTAAGGAAGAGTGAATTGGCCAAAGGCGGCCAGTGGATTAGAAGAAACTAAACCAAACCTAAAATCTATCTAATCCTCAAAATAGAAGCCAGCCTTTAAGAAACAAGCAGAAAATTCACAAAATCAAAGTGCCTACAAAAAGTGTTCCCTAGCCAGCCTCACCTGTGTTACAAGCCTGTTCTTTGAGTGGTAAAACAGTCCCAAGTTAAAAGAAGGCTGTGCCTTCCGAGACATTCAGATTGTTTCTGAGGTCTTCAATTTCTACAAATAGCCCAAAGTAAGGCAGAAAAGTACACTTACCCCCTTACTTCAGGGGTGCTGATGGAATTCTCCATTTCTGGGCCTAATCTAATTTGTATAATGGCAAGCAGCTTGTCCTCTCCAGTGTCTTGAGAGTATCTGAGGCGTTAGCAGTGCTGAATTATTGCTTAAGAGTGATCACCTGAGGGCCTCTTGCTTGGGTGTTCCCCTTAGTAACCTGCCTTTTAATTAGTTCTTCAAGGAGAGAGAGGATGTCTATTTCTGATGTGTATCCTTAACCTCCCTAAATAGAGAATATTGCCATCTTTGATTATGGCATTACCAGTGTGATTACCAGTGTGAGTTAAGAAATTTAGATTTTATGAATGCCCTACATTGACCATGCTGTTAAGTCTTTCTCTTACTGCCATTCCTCTCTGAAATAGCTTTATTTGGGAAGGGTGGTTCATTTCGGGGATGGAGGGAGAACGGGCAGTGCATATTCCAGTTTAGGAGTTATTCCCACAGCTACCTGCCTTTTTCTGAGAAACAATTACGTATTTTTTTTATTGTGGATCATTATATACAATCAATGTTCCCAGAAAAAAAGCCACACACACAAAACCCCAAAATAACATAAGCCTCTCCAAACAGCTGGAGTTCCATTCTATCTCAGCTAAAAAGGTGGAGATTGCAAACCCTGTGGATCATATTTGGCCCACAGTTGTGTTTTGTTTGGCATGCATTGTTATATAATGACTTAAAAAGTTGAATTTCGTTGCAATGTTTTAAAATCTAGAGATCACATATAAAAGACTATACTTCCAGCTCCCCTTGAAAATTTGTCATTTCTGGCGACACAGGTCTCACATTTCTACCTTGCAGCTCTGTGCTCCCATAGACAAAGCATCTCCAGTACACCTACCTCTGCCCACTTGCTTCACACATGCAAATTACTCATGTAAGATCTGATGGGACTCAAATTTGGGGCCTCTAACTTTAGGGTTCTGCAGCATTCATCCACCAAAGTTATGGTTTCTATTTACTCGCTCTGTAATCAGTCTTTGGTGAAGATAAAAATGATTGAAGATACTGGAGGGAAATCCAACTGGTTTTGATCCTTAAATGAAGGCTACACCTTTATGCACACCTTGAAGGTTCCCATTCATTTAAGCAGGCTCTCGTCAACAATTTGAAGAGGCACACCTGTGCTGTTTTAGCTGTTGTTGTCCACCTATCTCCCTAAGGAGCATGTTTGCTTTGATCCTATAAGGACATGGTAAGTTCCAATGCCTATAGAAGCCAGATAGGCTTCCTGAATGACATTGGCCTGGGATTAGAAACGAACTGGGAGCAGGAGGGGGTTTGTGGTAAGCTGTAGACCACAAGGCCTGTCCAGAGAGTGCAGCTGCTACTCAGCCCTGGCCAACTGTTTCCACACAAAGATGTGGGCCTGGTACTGCCCGATCTCATTTTTCAGGAGAAGCCAGAAATCAGGATTCTTTTTTATGTTGGCAATGAATGGGAAATTTTAAAAAACGCTGCATGGGCCAAACAAAATATGTCTGCGGGCTAACTCCAGCCAGTCTGCAGTCTCTGAACTGAAGGAAAGGCATAGGCTTTACGAATGAAGTTCTGCCAGGCACGCAGGCTCCAAACATTCTACTTAACAGAAAAAAGGGCAGAGGAATAAAGCATTTGTTTTCATGAGTTTCTGTAACATTACCATAAAAAGGTCAAATTCTTCTTCTCGTCGAGCAATCATTTGGTTCAGAGTCTCATCGTCCGGTACTTCATCTTCTTCCTGGGGTTAAAAACAGAGTGATTTAACAGGTTTTAGGAGAGAGCCTGGACAGCTGGGGCAAGGTACAAACAAGTAAGTGATCTGTCCTCCAGACCAGAGGGGTCCCATTTCTCAAGCCAGAAAGAAAAGGGAAGGGGTTGCTGGATTTAGTACTTGCCATTATTATTTTACGAGCTATTAAAACCATCTTCCCAGAGCAAAATCTGTTCAGGCTGGAAATGTGGTGCACTATAAGAAATATGAGTTCTCCTGGGTGTGTATCTTGATTCTGTTACTTTTAAAACAAGTTACTTCATGTCTCCCCGCTTCAGTGACCTCATTGGTCATATGGGTATGACATCTACTACACAGGGGGATGTAAGATTTTAATAAGGAAATCCATATGAAAAAGTACCTGACATTAATTCTTTTAACTCCATTTACCTTATGCCAAATATAAATGCTTATTTTCAAATCCTTACAAAAAATGTAAGTATGGGAAACCTTGTTACTAGGCACTAAGACAATAAAAACCACATATGTGTGCCAAATATATAGTCTTTGAAGTGTGTTTAATATATTTATTTGGGCATTATTATTGTTGATGATTGGAGCTATGGATGGGATAACTAAAAAGGTATCAGTAGCAAAAAAAAAACCCTCAAAATTATACTTAATTAAAATAATTTAAATGAAGCAGAGAAAACAATTACATATGGGTTAAAACTTTCATTTTATATTATGTCAAACAAAGATACATTATCTCTCTCCTAATTCCTCAGAAACCAACAGTTCTCAGGATTTTCAGCAATGTTATGGCATGACTTCCACACTTTCAAAAAATGATTCTAAAAGTTGGGCATATGCTATAGGACTTATCTTCCCAAATTATTTTTATAATATGCTGAGTGGGCTTGTTAAAAATCAAACGGGGAATTTCAGTGTATCAGCTGAGGGAAGAAAGGGGAAAACACAGAACTTCAAACATCCAATTTCACAAACTGTATGTTCAAAAAGAAGCAACTTGTTTTAGAGAAAGAGTATGAGTGTACTAGCGGCTCAAATGAGATGACTATGTCGGCTCCCAAGATAACGCCTTTCGCACTGCAGGAACTTAATAAGTGTTAGAAATGAATGCAATCCACTAAAGTAAAAAATCTACAATTCAAGATAATCATTATTTCTGAAAAACTTATTCTAGTTCACCTCCAGATTGATTACAGTCAATTTGTCTAAATATTACATTTCATCTGACAAGGACACAGACTAGCTGGGAGTGGGTTCAGACTTCACAGTACAAAATATCTGGTAATGTCTCTTCTGGTGAACAGATGTCCCGCTTTGCCTACTTTCTTCCTAGAACCACACATTACCCTCTCATCACCTGTACAATGAGGGGCTTAGATGACCGCATGCCCAAGATGAAAAGATTCTCTTGTAAAGTGGCAAGAAGCCTGCCCGTTTATGACCTTCATGGAAAACCAAATGGCTGAAAGTACACAATGCATCTTCCTGGGTTCTTTGTGCCCCAGCACTTCATGGTCACGTCAACCACGGTGATGCCAGCCTACGTTGTCCTGATCTTTCAGGACCAGAGCCTTTGACGGCAGTCTCTCAGTGTTTTCTAACATCTTTACATCAGGACACGGGCCCCCCTGAAAATGGTAACATTTTTCTGACACACTGGTAGCCAAGAAGGGACAGGGAGCCTCAGCAAGGCTGCTCACAGCTAACCTTGCTGGCAGGACAACTGGGAGGGGAGTGCACTTCAGGCCCCACCTGGCAGCCCTCGGGCCCAGGAGAGATCAGCATCTCCCTGCAGCTTAGGAAGGCTGGAAAACTCCAGGCTTCCTTGATTCTCAACCAGATCAGGTACTATTTTCACAAGGCCTACACAAAACAAATAAGCAAAAATGTAGTGGAGACGACGGGCTGAGTGTCAGCTCTGCTCACATCTGCTTGGTCACAGTATAGATCATTCGCCATATTTTTCTTTTGGAAATGTCCAAGTGTATAAACAACAACAACAAAAATCACCTGACAATCTGACTCCATATCTGTATCAAATATTCAATTTCTAGAATCAGAAATTATAAATTGAGATAAAAATTTTTCAAATGTGTGTGGATCGTGAGTACATGTGCATATGTATTTTTCATCATTTTCATGAAACTCAGTGGATAGCTAATCAAAAATATAAGACCGACAAATTAGGAGGCATAATACAAAAGTGCTCTTCAATTTGCAAATGGGTTCATTTCAGGATTCCTTTAAATATCAAGCTCTACTTCACATTTAGATTCATTTCAGAATATATATATATATATATATAAATATATATATATATGCAGTCAGTCTCTGGCTTAACAATGGTTGGACTTAGGATTTTTCAACTTTATGATGGTGCAGAAGGGATGCACATTCAGTACTCCACTAGACTTAAGATGGGGCCATGTTCTGATATTTTCAAATTATGATGGGTTTGTCGGGATATAACACTATTGTAAGTTGAGGAGTATTTGTTTATAAGACTTTTAAAAGACTCAGGTTCATAATTTACAGAAGACTGAAAAAACACATACCCTGTTTAAGGCAAAAATCAAATTATATCTAATATATGCAATTAAAACAGTATTCCACATGAATATGTAAGGTAAACTTACTCTTCAATTTATAAGTATGGGCACACACAAAAAATATGTTCATCCCCAGTCAGTTTTATGATAAGGACTGCTGCTGATATTCTGTAGTTTGCTACATTATATACATATGTTTAAAAATCTATTTCAAATCCATTTTGGAATGAATATTATAAAATTACTAACGCTGGCAATCTAAAAATAATACAAATGACAACCCAACATTCCCCTAATAAAAACCTAATCAATGCATTCTTCATACAACCCTGACAAATAAAGACTGTTTAACCAGTATTTTTCCCAACCTTCAGATAGCTCTTAAAGAAAAATTTGAAGTATAGGTTAAGGTCATGCTTTCCAAGTGCAAGTATAGCTAAATGGGCAGAAGATGGCTGTGAAGGTTTGTCCTACAAACACGTTGAAGCTCTGCGATCTCTGATCAAAAGGCGAAAGACAGAGGGCTCTGGAGGATGGGAGAAAGAGGCCCCCTTCCATTTATGTCTTGTCTCGTCCGGCTGATTTTGTCCCTAAAGTATCCTCTCTGCAGTTCTGCATCTGTCCTACAGAAGGCAGCACTGATGGCACAATAAAGCAGCTGGGTTTCCCACCCTGGAAAAAAGGAGGGAGCACCCACAGGCCAAGCCTTGAGGTTCCTCCAGCAATAGCTCTTAAGACACTCACTTTGGATAACTTTCAGAGGCTTTCTGTGGTTGGGATCTAAAACAGCAGTTTATTTATTCATTTTCATTAACACTAGCCCAGGAAGTTCTTTAAACAAAGGGATTATTCTTAGTCCTTCAGAGACAAAAGGCCACTGTTTGATTTCATAAACTTGGGGCTTTCTGTAATACCTCATTTTCCTCTTCATGCTCCAAGATGGCCTGCAAGAATGCCCTCCGCTCGTGGCTTGAAGACTTTTGGTCAAACATGCCTGCCTGGATTACTTTCTGATCCACGTTCAGCTTGTATTTTGCAGCCGCGAGGATCTTTTCCTCCACGCTGTTCACGGTACAGAGCCTCAGCACCCGGACCTCGTTCTGCTGCCCGATGCGGTGAGCTCGGTCTTGGGCCTGCAGATCCTGTTTTGGGGGAACAATACGCTATGAGGACTGAGATGCCTGGCATAGGAATCCCAAACCAGACCCCACCCCAGAGGGAAATATGGAAGGGTTATGTATTTCACCTTCACTAAAGCAAGATTTTGCTTACATTTTAAAAATACGCAAGCTACGTTTGGAAAAATTCAATGTCACTCCTAGTTGAAGAAACCTGGGTTTAAATTAACCAAGCCAACTGAAATAAATCTCGGGTTTTGAAATCCAGGTTAAGTTATCATATTGTTTTTATCTGTCTCTAGGTTCCCCATCAGATTTAGTCCCTATCTAAAACAAAAAACAAGACACCAATGTCCAATGTCAGAATTATGACTTACATATCACCTACAACTAACCTTAAGTTGTAAGAAACGCCTTTTCTTTGGTGTGATGTGTTGAAGATTATTTTAAAAATATCAGAGTTGTTGTACATTCAGGTATTATACATACATACATCTTACTACACACACACACATACACACACAGTGATTGCTCAGGTAGTCAATTTCCTAGAACCTAACCTTATCAAAGACTCAGTCTTCAATTTGGGAAATGAAAAGGATTGCTAGTTGGGTAGTCAACTGGTGAACTTTTGGGGACAGAAATTTGTCACTACCTATTAGAAGTGTTAAAACTGTCTACGTCTCTGACTCAGAAGTATCACTTCTGGAAATGTATCCTAAACAACTAATCATAGATATGCACAAAGATTTAGAAATAAGGATGTACCTTCTCAGAATAATTTGTTATCTCTAATGTTTTTTTTTTTAAAAAAGAATTAAACATTCAACAATAATGAATTGGTTAAATAAATTATAGGATCCTACTATATGTACGTATCAACAAAGTATCATAAAAATTATATTGTAGGAGATTTAATGACACAAAGCTATAATAAGTGAAAACAAGTTAAAAAGAACCGTGTGCATTCTGATCTTACATGTGCAAATTTATCTATATCAAGAAAAAGGTAGGAGGACAAACACCAACATGCCAACAACATAAATCTCCAGGTGATAAGATTATAGATGTTATTTCATTTTCTTCACTTTGCTTACATTTTGTTTTTTTCTGCTTTAAATGTTACTCATATATTAATAATAAGAAAAAAGCTTTAATGAAATCTTTAAATAAAAACTTTCATGAGTCCATGAAGCAGAGTTACCTAATTTTACAGCTACATAATAAAAACTTCTTGGCATATGGCTTTTATTCATTGTGGTCCAGGTGATGTTATCTGGGCTGATGCTAATTAGTTGTTTACACATGTCTCCCATTAGACTGTATAGATTTTTAGGGCAAAGGTCTGTTTTCTGTATCCCACAGCCCTGGCACCATAGTTTGTACAGAGCTGATGCTCAACAGCTGTAAACCCGTCTTCTTGACGAGACAAGTCTCCTGGTCACCTATTGTAGCACAAGAAGGCAGCAGGCAAAAGGTTGCCCTGGAGATTAGTTTTTGCTGCAGGGACCTTTAAAATTAAGTAGCCAATTAGGCAAAAGCTTTTCCTCGGCAGATATCTGAATAAGTTAATATCAATATCATAGTGCTAAGCCATGAAAACAGCTGGGACCCATCTATATTAGATTATTTTCTAAAGAGAAGAATGTGAGATGGATCATTCAAATCCAAAGGGGACAAAAAACTCTAAAACACCCTAAAGTTCCTTTTTAAGCTTTTAGTTCAACCGTCCCTCTCAACCCATCTTCACCAGAACTGCTAACAGCAGTCAAGATGACAAGCTCTGGGTCATCAGGCTTTTCACTATCTCCTGGAACAGAGGCCAACAAACAAACAGTCTCTAAAATGGGCCCACTAGTAAACATTCTAGGCTGTCTGGCCCAGAAGCAAAAATTGAACAACTGTTCTTACCAGAAGGCTGATATTCTTTTTTCCCACCATTTTCTAATTTATACTTTAAAAAGTGAAGACCATTCTTCAGCTGCAGGGGTGCAAAAACAAGTGGCAGGTCAGACTGAGCCCGTGAGGAGTAGATGGCTGACCCTTGTCCAAGAAGATGCTGACAAAACCACAAAAATACTAATTGCAGGGGGCAGCAGAATATGAATAGAGTAGATGAGGAAGCAGAGCGCATAGACAACATACGAACAAAGTAAGACATTACAGAATCCTTGGGAATTTGCTGCAATTCGTTTTGTTTGGTGGTGGTGGCAGTGATGTGTGTTTGTGTGTTTCAGATCACCCATCTAATTGGAAGGTCACGAAAGCTAATATTTCTAGATGGAGAAGTGTAATGCAGTGTGAGCTTGTGAGTCTCTAAGCTGACGTGTGGGGGGAAATATTGTGACAAAGAAGCGCTGTAATTATTGGATGGATTACTCAATATTTCTGAAATCTCAATTAGGTGGTCTGAAACTTCATCACACTGACTTAGGTCTGATAATACTCGAAGCTAAGAGCCTGATCTGAGAAGAGGGTCTGCAAGCTAAATGTGATTGACCATTCCGTAATGGCAACAGAGTTGCAGCTCCACCGGTAAAAAACACAAGCACCAACCCATGTTTCTAATCAACAGTTAGGAAATGAGAGTCTTGGCAACCTGCAGTGATTTTTTTGTTAATTCCACAATCCTGAGTTCTATTTTTGCTTCTAGGTAGGGTCCTCAATTAGCAACATTAAGGCCTCTATCTGTCAACCTATGTCAAATTAATCCCCTATTTTTACCAATGTGCCTTAATTTTGATTCAATATGATAATGCATACTTACAGAAAATTTTCTTCAATGCATGCCGAAATTAACCTGATAAAAACACCTCCACAGTTTTCATTTTGGGGGCTATGCAATCTATATGCAAGGGTGCAAGGTAGAAAGAGCTCAAACCCAGGATTCAAACTGAAACCTAAACAGACATGGGTGTGAATGATCCTGATGGGGCGCTCATGAGCAAGCTAACATTGACTGGTTTCCTTATGTATAAGATATTCTGAGGATTACTTGAGGTGAGGTATGCAAAGTGCCTAACAATATTTAGTAGAGTTCTGTACCTTTTAAATGAAAACTCAGATGGATCTTTATCACTCTAAAATCACTGATTCCTGAAAAAGAAAAATTTGACCAAACTAATGGTCATGTTCAGCGACAGATGAAAAATCTAGTCAGCTCAGTTTATTCAATCAGGTGGAAGCAAATCTACCTGTGGCAGCTAGAAATACTTGCAGAGGTCCAGTGTGAGGGACCTGTGGTAAATTCAACCAGAGAAAATCTGGGATCCTGTGTTTTGCTGCCGAAGCTTTAGTTCACGTGTAGTTAAGAGGGAACTATTTCGTGTTACTGTAATTTACTTTGATTCTAGAACCCAAAGTTTTTAACAGAGCTAGAGAGAAAGAAAGAAAAAGAAAATGAGAGTTGGGGTGGGGTAGAACATCACAAAGATGTTCCAGAGTTATTTTCCAGGTTAAATTAGCATTTCCTGGAACAGTGGCTTTTAGAATTTATACTGTACCAGTGAAGGTAAACATCTAAGAGTCAGTGGAAATGCTTACCTCTGAAGACAGAATACAAGCAAACTCTCCATTCACCTATAGATGGTCCTCAATACTTAGGTACCAGCAAGAAGGATAATCTAAACATCCAATCACATTGAGCACACCAGGAGGAGAGGAGTCAAAGAGTCACATCACATCTTCCTTCCTCCCTCTTAGATACCCAGCCTAGCTCAGTGCCTGCTGCATAACAGACACTCAATAAATGTTTATGGAAGAAATACTGAATCCAAAATGCCAAAAAGGAAAACTGCAGATCTCTCACATCAATATAAATTCTACCTGAGCGTTGGAATGAAACACTTTTATATATTTATAAAAATATGTAACCATATTTCCTGAAGACTTAGAACTAATATATTCTGTGCTGGTGGTTCCCAATCCTTTTCAAGATAAGAACATTTTAATAGTCGCCTTAATTTATTCACCCACAGAGAATGGTAAGTACACGCAGTGGCCCAGTGGTGGTGCTTTGGACCCACAGTTGAGTCTTTAAATCAGTGGTCCTCATCTGTATGAGAATCTATTTCAGAATCTCCTGGGAGCGCTCAAAGGAAGCAGCTAGCTCCACTGAATAAGAAAACTAGGGTGGGGTGGGAGGGAACAGAAAGCAGGCATGTATATTTTTTAAAAGCTCCCTTAGAATCCTAATGTACCCCTGAACTCTATTTCCTGCCAGAAGTGACGCTATATGGCATTGCCACTCAATCTTCGCAACCCAGTGAGATAGTGTGACTGTTGAGAAAACCAGGGCTCAGTGAGGAGCCTAGGAAAAGCTGATGTAGAATTCATACTCCTATGTGAGAGTTGCCATTTTCTTTCTGCTTTTTTTTGAGACATGGTCTTGCTTTGTCGCCCAGGCTGGAGGGCAGTGGTCCGATTACAGCTCACTACAGCCTCTGCCTCCCAGGATCAAGCAATCCTCCCACCTCAGCCTCCTGAGGAACTTGGGACTACAGGCATAAGTGCCACTGTGCCCAGCTAATTTTTGTATTTTTTTTGTAGAGACAGGGTTTCACCATGTTGCCCAGGCTGGTCTCAAATTCCTGGACTGAAGCAATCCTCCTGCCTCGACCTCCCAAAGTCCTGGGATTACAGGCGTGAGCCACCACACCTGGTCTTCATTTTTACTGTTTTGAATTCAACATTTGCTCCAGTATGAATCAAAACTTGACCAATATCATCCTACCCAATATCCTACAGGCAGATGCCTCACCTCCCAGAGTAATTTAGAAAACCAGTGCCATAAGAGACCCACTCAATTGAAAAAAAAAAAAAAAAATCAAAGGACTGCTTTAATAGGATAGCCTTGAACTTACCTGGCTAAAAGAGCTTTACAACAATAAATGCTCATTAGAATATGTTTTGATAATGACTTTAAACAAAACACAAAATAAAAGGTTAACTACCATAATACTAACTGGACTTGGGGAAGTTACTTACCCCCACCCTGCCTAGGATTCAGTTTCCTTGACTGCAAAGATTCAAATCATATTAACTGTCTGACAGGGTTGTTGTGAAACTGAATGAAAAAATGCCCAAGAGGCTGACACAGATTCAGGGACTCATAAATGATGGTTGCTATTGTTCTTATTGCTATGATTTTACAACATTTTTGATTTATCCTTCATTAAATATACTTTGTTCAATGGCAATCCCAAGAGATGGGATTAAAACTAAGCAGAAACTAAGTTTTTCTACTTCAAACTTCAGCTCTTCAAAGGCATATGTGGGACCTCGTATCTATGCTCTAAGGGAGATGAGAAAACAGCCAGAATTGGCTCCAAGAAAGCAGCGGCCCACTCGTCTAGATATTTGCTCTGTCCTGTAAATGTGAATAATGAAACTGATCATCTTTTAGCTGCTCTCCAGAGGGAGGCCTGGACACCTGAGTGGGACATACAGACCTGATGAGGATTCCAGTCGCTGTCAAAGATGACCACTGTATCAGCTGCCTGAAGATTTAAGCCCAGGCCACCAGCTCTGGTGCTCAGCAAGAAAATGAAATACTGGGATCCAGGTTCATTGAATTTCTTCAGCAAAGCAGCACGATCTTCAGACTTGGTGGTGCCTAAGGGGATCAGAAAAATTAATTTGCCAATTAACTCTTGTCTGAAAATGGCACAGAACGAGACAAAAAAGCTTGCTTCCTTCGAGAAATATACCCAGACTCCTCCTAACACTGATGAGGTAATTTCCAGGGCTTTGTACTTCTGGGAAAAAACTTTGAACATTTTGCAATTACAAAAAAAAGATAGAGCTTAAACATTTCTGACGAGGCATCTTTGTAACTTTACACATTTTACAAAATCCTTACTTCCACCTAAAACAATGAAAACATTTTTTGGATTTATTTCTGTGATTTATAACAAATAATTTTAAGAACACACACACTTCCTCTCTCTCCCTCTCGCTCTCTCACACACACACGTGCACTTAAAACTGTAATAATGGCTTAAAGAAACTTTGCCAATAGGCATTAAAGCAAGGACTTTTTTATGCCAAGAAAATAGAAAAAAAAGGAAAGTTCTTTTCTACTGCTTTACCATTTCGATTGAAGTATGGTCCGTTTGGTAAAAACATAAATTATGAATGAAATTTTTTTTTTTTGCAAATGGAATAATTTTATCCTTTTTAGCAAGACTTAAAGCCACAATAATCCCCCCCAACAAAAAACAAGAAATCTCTTAGTCTGTTTCTCACTTTAACATCCCGCTCTGTTGAGTTCACAGCATGCTAAATCAAAACCAACTAAACAGAGCAGCATGTTAAACACCTGGGTGTGGTTTGCCCCATGGGGTCTGAGGAGGCTCCAAAAGAGTGAATAAGCAGAGAGGACCAAACCTTAGAGTCTGGTGCTCACTTTTGGGGCATTCTTGCATTTTGGATGAGCCACTCGATTACATATTATGTATGTGTAATGTATTTACCCAGCCATTTCATGAAGTGCATTGTGGAAGGGGAGAAAAAGAAAAAAAACACCAGTATTCCATCTGAACATATTTCAACAGAAACACTTAGATGCTGAATTTTGAAAAAAGGCTTTAGGTTGTTGGGAAATATGTATGCATGTTACATGATAGTCCCTGACCGGCTGCTATTCAAATATTATTCTTACATGCTGTTCTTTTTTTAAGGATGAAAACATACCAGCAATTTATTTCAGAGGATTAAAACATTTAAGTGACTACAGCTAATGAATCAAGTTACTATGAGGGCCAAGTTCTCAAAATTGGGGACAATCTGTTTTTCACATTTAATAAAAATAACAAATGCCCTCCTGAGGAGGGAGAAGACAAATCACTTCCCTGCATACAGCAAACAAGGATTAGGAATGAGGGGTTTGGGGGCTTTCCTCATTTAATGGAGTCACATTCTTTATACCCAATTTACTTTCTATGTTAGGTTTCCAGTTTAGTGAACTGGTGAGGTCCGACACAATCAGTTGTCTTGAGTTTAGATTTTGGAGGAGGAGCACTAAACATGCTTTGATGAGTGAGCTTTCAAGTGTGGGGCTCTTTTTTCTTTTATTTTCAGAATTGGCTTTCTGAGATCATGGTGAACTATCTGTTCACGATGCTAATGGAAGATCTGTTCTGCCATGAAACCTCCAGCATCTTTCCAGCTGCAAGAATTTTTTTTAAAATTACTCACATGGATTAATGGTTCACATATTTCTCCTCTGCCTTAAACTGAATGAAAAGCCACAGAAACCAAAAATTCTTTCTAAAATGGGGAAAGAAGAGATCATAGCATCTTTGTTTCTGACAACTGGGTACAAAAACTACACATCTATACTCTCAGGATAGAAGTTCAACTGTTTTTGATTAACTGAAAATGAACCAGCTGATAATCACATGGATTAATGAAACCAAACAGTTAATCTCATCAGGTCTGCCTGCCCTGCATGCTTTTGGTTTCTTGCTTTTTGTTATTTTTGTTTTCTCTTTTTCTGTGAAGCTGAAGGCTGCGGTAGCTGAAGGTCTTGATGCTGAATGCTCAAACTTGACCTTCACTGGCTGCTTTACAGATAACATGCATATGTCACCATGGCAATGGTTGTTACTTCAGTTGTTTTTCAGGAACTTTGGCCAGCTCTGTCCACTTCAAACTGGTTGACACCACTGACCCTTAAACTAGGCCTGAGCGCAAGTGCCCAAGAGATGGCCTTTTGATGTCGGAGAGCCAAAAACTCCACCATCAGGTCACGCTAACACTGCCATTTTCTGCATGTATGTCCTCGGAAACGCCATGAACCCCGGCTATGCTTGTGTAGAATTAACCTGTGACTTCATTTTTCCCCACTGCCAATCACCTTTCCCTGTGCCTTACACCACCCCACTTCCTTACCCCATAAATATCCCTAAGCCTTATCTTCAGGGACGTAGAGTTGAGGGCTGTTCTTCCATCTTTTTGCTTGGTTCCCTTGTGAATAAATCTTTTCTCCTTTGCAAAACCTGTGTCACAGTGATTGATTTACTGCACGTGGGCAGAACAGACGTGGATCTCGCCAGTAACATAAGATATAAATACAACCAATGCCTACTGGGATGAAATAACCTTACATGCAAAATAAAGCACTGAAAAACAAAAGGAATATCCAAATAAAATTACTTGGTCAAAGGAGTTTTCAGACCTTATACCAGATACCTCAAGCAAATAGGCCAACCATGTATCTGGTGTGTATTTAAACTGTACAGGCCAGGCACGGTGGCTCATGCCTGTAATCCCAGCACTTTGGGAAGCCAAGGTGGGTGGATTACCTGAGGTCAGGAGTTCAAGACCAGCCTGGCCAATATGATAAAACCCAGTCCCTACTAAAAATACAAAAATTAGCTGGGCATGGTGGCACACATCTGTAATCCCAGCTACTCGGGAGGGTGGGGCACAAGAATCGCTTGAACCCAGGAAGTGAAGGTTGCAGTGAGCTGAGATGCACTCCAGCCTGGGTGACAGAGTGAGACCTCGTCTCAACAAAATAGAATAGAATAGAATAAAATAGAATAGAATAGAATAGAATAGAATAGAATAGAATAGAATAGAATAGAATAGAATAGACTGTATAAATAGCTGGGAACTTGACAAATTACAAAAAACAATAAAAAAGATTAAGTCATTTTTCATACAAAACAATGGCATTTCTCATCACAAGGTTTGGAATTTGCTAGAAAACCACTTCCGTCAAAGATTTCCAAGTCAAGATCTTTGCTGATCATGAGCAATCTTTTTAATATTGTTCAGGGAGATTCAAACGACCATGTAAGAGTCTATCTAAAGGCCGACACTCTTTGCAAGTGGCACAAGATTTAATGTGCTCAAAACTAACATCAGTTTCATGGTCTTTCAGACTTTGATACATAACCAATTATAAGAATACAATTAATAGGGCAAGTGTGTTGAAAATTACAGCATTTACCAGAAGGAACACACTGTCAGACTTTCATGATGACTAATTTTAACTTAGTTTCAGTGACTTTTAGAAAGTATTGTCTTCTGGGATAAAACAAGTGAGAGCACCACTTGCTCTCACTCAAAAATCATTTCCAGTAAAAACAAAAACTATAATGGAGTATTAGCTAAATTTATTCATGCAACCATAATCTTTGCAGAAAATTTCTGCTTAGCTCTTGTCAAGTGACTTTTTCCCCTAAAGTCAAAATCTGAGACATCAAATTCAGCAGTGAAAATCTGAAGTCATTTTAATAATTGGGTGGTGGGATGGGGGACAGAAGGGGGTTCAGCTGGAAGTGTGTGTACTAACTTATCTGTGTGTATACTGATTGTTTGTCCATTAGTTCTGTCCACCCTTAAAAGGAATGGCTGCTCTTTCTTACGGAAATATGCCTTTTCAATTCCATCTGTAACATGTTAGGCAATTTGCTTGTCTGTCTCCTTCCACCTAATGGTAAGGACTCTGAGAGCAGGAACAGTGAATAGTTCATCTATCCTGTATCTCTAGTGCATGGTGGTTTGCAATTACTCAACTGAAAATTTTAAGTAAGTTCAAAATCATTCTTAAAATGTTGTAGCTAGAGAAGCAGCCTGTATTTTCAGAGATGGGGTATACCTCTCTGGATCTGCTAAAACTGAGCTAATCTGGAATCAAAGAGATCCAAGTTAGAACCTGGTCTCACCATATACCTTTGTTTTCTCATCTATTAAATGGGCATCATAATGGCACACTGGTTGACAGGGTAACAGTAGCTTATTTATTGAGAAAATCAAATTAATAACGCACATGAAATGCTTGGCCCAGAGTCCCACACAGAGTAGGTGTTCCATACATGTTAACTGTTGTGACTATTATTATTAACAACAAAAGGGCAGCAGCCAACAAATGATTAAAGAGAACCTCTCAGGCTGACAAGAAAACACGAAAGCAATTTGTTTCCAGGAATTCACTCTTACCAGTCTGATAGATGCAAATATTCCAAAGGAGCAGTCCTCAGAGACCTGAGATTGGAAATGAAATGCCACAAAGTAGCAAGTGATAGTTATGCAGGACACCTGTGTGGGGCTGTCAGTTCAGGGGAAAATAGAGCCCCACAGCCCCTCACTTGAGCAGCAGGTAAAGGACAGTTTATCTCTTGAAGGAAGAGTGCTGAATTTTCCCCTCTTTCCAGAGGCAGGGATCCAGTCAAAGAAGAAGAGACAATAAAGGAAATTTGCCAACAGAGAAAAACTGTGCCTAATAGGACTGTATTTGTGAACTCAGAATTCACATTTACTTAACCATTCATTGGTTAAGTAATTTGGAGGGGAGAGGTAAAGGGGTTTAAATAATCAATTTTCACGCCTGTAATCCCAGCACTTTGGGAGGCCAAGGCAGGTGGATCACTTGAGGTCAGGAGTTCGAGACCAGCCTGGGCGACATGGTGAAACCCCATCTCTACTAACAATACACACACAAAAATTAGCCGGGCATGGTGGCACATGCCTGTAATCCCAGCTACTCAGGAGGCTGAGGCAGGAGAATCACCTGAACCCGGGTGGCAGAGGTTGCAGTAAGCTGAGATCATGCTACTGGATTCCAGCCTGGGTGACAGAGTGAGACTCTGTCTCAATAAAAACAATAAAATAAAATAAAAAAAAAATAATCAAGTTTGTCAAATGGTATAATTAATTTGAAAATTAATTAATAATACCCTAAGAGGCAGACCATAAAGAGAATTCATCTAAAACCTTAAGTCAGAGAACATACAGCAAGTCTAAGTTTGGTTTATATCCAATTACATTCAATTAAGGGCAAAAGGGAAACAAAATGTTGGATTCAAAATAAAGTCTTTTAATGAAACATAAACCTTAAATTTCCCATTTAACAACAGTAATACTGCATTAGATAAATACCGGTATTAGTAGTATCCTCTTTTCTACCCAGGGATTAAATAGCATCCTGACTGTAAATTAACTTCTATTCCTACTTACCACTCTTTGAATGCCATATTTATGCCCTGCCATTGTGTATAAATGCTGATACTTTCAACCTCTAATATATTATGGCTGATATCCAAATCGTAAAATAATTTAGGGATTATCCCTAAAATCATATTTTCTTCCACTAATATTTTTTCTTACTAATTTTTAGGACATGGTATTTAAATTTCACTCTTAAAACCAGGCAAGTATTTTACATAGCTTGCAAAATCCAGGAAACAATGAAATCACGTCTCTTAACAACATAATATGTGGATATGTCTTATTTAGAAAGAGAGGCGCTTTAATGGTAAATATAATCTTAACTGAATGATTGTATTGTTACAAAGAAAAGTGACATAGCCTTTATCCCCTTAAAATATGCCTTTAACTGAAAAAGTTAAAGGTGTGTCAACGTATTCTATATGTTTGGCACATAGGTAACAATCAATTTTAAGAGCAAGGAAGATTTCAAAATTTTAGTTTAGTTTGATTTTATTTTATTTAGATACTCATAAGTGACTCTAAACTCATTTGTGTTGGTTTATATGTGGGCTATGCAGCTGCACAAATGAGGTCAGCTTATTTAAAGCTTAAGGATGCAAAAAACTGCTATCTAGAAAAACTGCACCCGATGCTGCTAGTCAATTCTTCAATTTTACCCCTTCTTTTTGGCTGAGAATGGATCTAAGTGCCCATTATCCCTTCATTTTCAGTAGTATGGCTTCTGAGCCTAATGCCTTTTGCACTTACCATCAAGGCGTAGGTAAAGGAAGTTCCGAAAAGCAAAATAATCCTCCATGATGGTCATGAGAGATGTCATCTGGCAGAAAAGCAGCACTCGGTGATTAGTCGCTCTCAATTTTGGCAGAATACGATCAAGTAGCTCAAACTTTCCTGAGGCCCGATACAGTTCAGCCCTGAACCCAAAAAATGCAAAACAAGAAGACAGTATTACTTCTGTCTTCTTGAAAAATCCAGCATTGCTTTGTTTTTCATATAATCCTTTGTACACAGTAAATATTCAATAAGTGACTGTGAAATGAATGAATGAATGAATGAATATGAACTCCAAAGCAATGAGAATATTTAGCAGAAAAGGAAAATATATTCATATAAAACCCATCAAAAGTGCATTGCATATACTAGGTATGATTACAGGTTCTAGAAAGAAAAGGAACCACTTTCATGTTCTTAATACTTTCACAGTCTTTCTCTCAACTTATTCTTTCTCCTTGCCCTCTCTCTTTCTCTCTCTCTCTCACACACACACGCATGTGCGTGAATATGTGCCATGTTTCTGTAAATCCCTCCTTATTAATTATACACATTTTTAAATTGTTAATTCAGGGCACTTAAGATTCATCTAAATACTTATTGATCACCTACTATGTACCAAGCACAGTGCTAGCCATGTATATAATAATAAGCAAAATACAGTCTCATTTTACTAAATGGATAATTACAAATTGTAATAAATACGATAAAAATAACAAGTTCCAATGAGAAAACCCACAGCAACATGTGATGCCTTCTTTAGATCAGAGCAGTTTGGCAACCTTTGGCCCCAGTCTGCTGTCTGTTTTTATAAGTAAAAACAGACACAGCCACACTCACTCATCTCTGTTTTCTGGCTGCTTTCCCGCTACAGAGGCTGTGCTGAGCAGGTGTGGCAGACACTTTATGGCCCACAAAGCTGAAAATATTTACAATCTGGCTCTTTACAGAAAAAGTTTGCCAACCACTGGTTTACAGTGTCGGAGGTGACCTCCCTGAAGAGATAACATTTTAGCTAAAACCTGAAATAATGAGTAAAAAGGCATCCAGGTGAAGAATGGGGGCACTGGGGTGGAGAGGAGGAGATTCCAGGGCGAGGAAAGAGCATGCATAAAGGTCCTGAGGGGTAAAGGAGACAGAAGGATTTGAGAAATTGAAAAACAAACAAACAAACAAAAAAACCGGTAAGCATGGCTTAAACAGAAGTGAGGACAGAATACTGGGAGATGAAGACAGAGAGGTGGAGGATGAGATTAGGAATAGACTCTGTAGGACTCTATGAGCTACACTGAACATTTTCATTTTCAGTGCAATGAAAAGCCATCAATGGGTTTTAAGCAGGGGAGTGATGAGGTCTGGCATACCTTTTTATGAGATCACTATGGACATCGTGTAAGAATGGACTGGGGGAGGACAAGAGTCTTGGATTACTGTAGAAGTACAAGTCAAAAACACGATGGGAGTATGAGATGGAGAAGACGCTGTGATATGAAGAAAGGCTAAAGTAGGGCCTTTTCCCTCTATAGTTCATCCTTATTTTTCTTTTATCAACAGGGCTGTGTTATACAATTAAAACTGAATTCTAGGCGATACTGTTTAGAAAACTTGCCAGTGCACATGTAAACTATAGTACTGGAATGTATCATCTGGTAGTTGATTTTATGACACAGGATATGTTATTTCTAACACATTTTTCAAACGTATGTCTTCCTGATGTCCATTCCCCACTCTGAGAACTGTTCTCCAAATACCCCATAGCCGTGTTTTCACCACGCAACCCTGGCCAAGCTGATGGGAGCAGGAGTAACCACAGAACACAGAGAAAAGAGAGGCAAGAAGAGGCAGGGAAAGCTTAGCAGCACTGCTTCTGGATAGGTTATAGTTCCTGGTTCTCAGCCCAGTGAAACTGTCTGCCCTTGGGATCCAAGAATGATGACTACATCCTAATAATAAATTTTTCAAATTTGCAACACACACACATACACACACACACACACACACACACACAGACTTTCTGTTAAGGCAGTGTTCATTTTTGTTGTTGCAAGTCAAGATTCTCTTTAACATCCATTGCTAATGAAAAACATTTCTTACACAGACCATACTCTAACAAATGACTATAAAACTGTAAAGCAGATGAGAAATTTCTTCTCATGTACATTAATATCAAATGTCAATGTGAAATTTAATAAGATAAATTCTCTTCAAGCCCAGGCTATACTTTTGGTTATAAATAACAAACCTTTGAAACTTCAACAACATTTTTTGAACACTAGGATACTATTAAGTCTATTAAATAAGATCTATGTCCTTTGAATAGCCACTTGCTTAAGGCAAGTAATAATTTATGCCAGTAAAGTAAAAGAGAATGCTGATATCGTTTTGGTTAACTTCTCCACTGAAGAGCACTTAGAGGGCTGGAAGTATGTATTTGCACAAGAGGAAACACTGTAGAGAGGAGGAGTTTATGTAAGGCCAACAACATTTTTTTTAAAAGAAAAAATTTGAGATTTACCCATTGATGACCCCATTTGAATAGCCTAGGTGTTCAGCAAAGGATTCCTTTAAAAGAGAGAGAGAGAGAGAGAAATGATTTTAAAAAATGTAATTATTAACTTAATGATTACTCCTTTAGTGATGTTATCCTACCTATTTCTATAGTTAAAATAATTAAGGAATAAGCAAAAAAACTTACATATATAATGAACGAGAAATTCAGTATATTGCATGCAGACTTTTGTTCCACCAGAAATGTATCCTGTGAGTTTCTTCTAGTCTCTAGACTCTCAGATAACAGAGTTAGTTTACCCATCACACAGTCACTGAGCACCCACTGGCCCATAGCTGAGCCAATAGTTGTTTTTGGAGATCCACCCTCTAGGGTGGATCTGAACTCAAGGAGTTCAGAGTCTAGACTATAAGAGCACAATACAAGCAAATCAGAATTACTATGTATATATAAATACATGTGATAGGGCTTGGCTGTGTCCCCACTGAAATCTCATCTTGAATTGTAGCTCCCATAATTCCCGTGTGTTGTGGGAGGGACCCTGGGGGAATCAACTGAATCATCAGGAAGGTTTCCCCCAAGCCGTTCTCGTGATTGTAAGTCTCACAAGATCTGGTGGCTTTATAAGGGGTTTCCCTTTTCATTTGGCTCTCACTCTCTCTTGCCTGCCACCATGTAAGATGTTCCTTTCGCCTTCTGCCATGATTGTGAGGCCTCCCCAACCACATGAAATATGTGAGTTCATTAAACCTTTTTTCTTTCCAAATTGCCCAGTCTCAGGTATGCCTTTATCAGCAGCATGAAAACGGACTAATACAATATGCATTGTGGAAAAATTTAGCAATAAAAATAATGGTGATTACATATTCTAATTCTTAGTTTGGTGAAATCTTTTCTTTTTTTTTTTTGAGACAGAGTCTCACTCTGTTGCCCAGGCTGGAGTGCAGTGGTGCAGTCTCAGCTCATTGCAAACCTCCGCCTCCCAGGTTCAAGCAATTCTCCTGCCTCAGACTCCTGAGTAGTTGGGACTACAGCATGTGCCACTACACCTGGTTAATTTTCTGTATTTTTAGTACAGACAGGGTTTCACCACATTGGCCATGCTGGTCTTGAACTCCTTACCGCAAGTGACCTGACTGCCTTGGCCTCCCAAAGAGCTAGGCTTACTGGCATGAGCCACCATGCCTGGTCAGCTTGGTGAAATCCTAACATCTCTTCTATACTGTGCTTTCCTCTGTTACAAATAAGGTCCTAGATGTACAGCATCCCTCAGGTGTCAGGCTTCTGTTTTCAGAATACAGAGTGTAATCACATAACTCTAACTCCTTCCTTTCTGATTCACAGGAAGAAATACATGACTGTTCTCCATGCATTTCTCTATTCTGACTTTATGGGAATGGCAACCATCGGTGGGAATGGAGAGCAGGTTACACCTTCACATCAGCCACCGCTGTCTCCCTTTTCTGCCTTCCCTCCTCCCTGGATCCCTGCAACGTTTCCTCCAATGGCACCAGATCTTTCCCTCTGGGCTCAACAGTACTCTCAAATATGCTCATCATCTATGGTAAGCTCCAGTGCTGTGGCAAAATTAACAGGATAGACTGTGGCCAATACCTCAGCTCCATCCCCTAGAACCAAGCTCACAGTCTCCATTAGGCCCCATCCCTGTCTCCAAGCAGGATTGTGAAAACCAAAGACAGGGTGTCAATGGATGCTGTTGGAGATTAGGTAACAGCATCATGTTAAAAACACTGTTTTCATTTCTTGAGTTTGAAGGTCCCCAGGGAGGCAGTGAGACCCATTTTGAGGCTGAGCATCTGGCAGGATTTAGTATGAACAAAGGGTGTGTGGCAAACGAAATACAACAAAGGCAAATTCACACACCACCTCTGTTCCATAGTTGTCACTAGATTTGCCATAACTGTGGATCTCGTTTCTAGGAATAGACTCCTGAGAGTTTTTCTGTTAAAAAAAAAATTTGCAAATCAAAGTCTGCCTTTCTACCAACTGCTACTTAAGATGTCAATATGTAGGTACCAAAGGGCATGCACCTTAAACTTCGCTTCCTTCATGATCCCACTCCTCCTCTATCCTTTCCCACCCTCCAGACTGAAGCTGGAGGACAGAAGGCATCATCTCCCTTCCTTCCCTACTTAGCCCAGCACGGCTGAAGGGATCATTTCTTTTATGATAACCAAAACGAAGTAAGATTGCTGCTTAATCTTCAAAATTCCTAAGTCCCCCAAGGCCCTCACAGATTACCATACATATCTTAAAATTGTTTTCAGAAAAAAATGGGACAGTGGGCAACAGGTTAGACTAACAAAACCCCAGACAGTTTCATCATTATACTTTTTTCCCAGCTCCTCTCAACCCAACCTACACCCACTACCAATTCATTGGTACCTTACATCTGATATAACATGACATCAGTTTACAAGATGCTTCGCATGTTATTGTTTAAAAGCTGGTCCTCCTGCCAGTCCTATAATCTATTATTACCCCTGTTTACAAATCAAGCACATTATAGCATGGAGAATCTGATGACTTACCCCAGTTCACAGTTACAAAGTGACCTGGTGGATATGAACTCATTATTGGCCATTGCATTCCCCCTTCAATAATACATGTAAATAATTATGACTTACTAGTGAGACTTTTTTTTTTTTTTTTTTTTTTTTTTGTGAGACCGACTTTCGCTCTTGTCACTCAGGCTGGAGTGCAATGGCATGATCTTGGCTCTCTGCAACCTCCACCTCCCAGGTTCAAGCAATTCTGTTTCCTCAGCCTCCTGTGTAGCTGGGATTACAGGCGCCTGACATGATGCCCAGCTAATTTTTGTAGTTTTATAATTCTGTAGTTTTGTAATTTTGTAGTTTTAGACGGGGTTTTACCATGTTGGCCAGGCCGGTCTCGAACTCCTGACCTCAGGTGATCTGCCCGCCTCGGCCTACCAAAGTGCTGGGATTACAGGAGTGAGCCACCGCACCCAGCCCTGAGATTCTTTAAGTGTTGTTGTTGTTGTCGTTTTACTTCGATGTGTAGATACTTTCCCCTATGTCTATGGATATTCTCCTCTACGGCCATACACTCTCTCCTATGGCTGTGGGTACTCTCCCCAGTGTCTATGGATACTTTCTCCTATGGACGTGAAGGCAATAGCAGTGTCAGAAATCTTTCCAATTATCCAGCACAGCTAGAAAAGAATTCTGGCATGCGGATATGGTGTGCAATGAATACTCTGACCTGACAGGTACAACTGCCAAAAATAAGGGAGAAAAAAGAATATTCGAAAAGAAGAGGGCTCCAACTCAATTTTTATGCCATGATTAAGTTTTAACTCTCCAGAAGTTTCTATGTATTTTTTTAAATAAATTGATGCAGACACTGGAGCCCTGCAGTGATGTTCTCTATGTCTCCTGCCCATTTTGCAGTAGAAAGTAGGCACTACCCTGGCAAATAATTGCCACCAGGACCATTTGCCTCAGCAGCAGCAATGACAAATGGGGAATACAATTGTGGCTCCTTTTCATTCCTGCTCCAGTCAATTGCTCTGACTGGGGTGAAACACTGTCAATTTAGGAAACTTATTCACATGGAGTGAACATGGCAGAAAATGTCCTCTCCCTGCAAAATAGCTTTCTAGAGACCTGAGCATCAGGATGAAAGCACGGATTTACATCATCACGACAGAAACAAGAAAGGAAAAATATAAATCAAAGTAACAGACTAAAGCCAGTGTCTTTTACAAAGAAAATATTTAAAGAAAATCTTTCTCTTTAGCAGTCATAAATATGTTATTTTAATATTTTTCACAGCATTTTTCCGAGGAAGCTGAATGTATTTATCATTATCTTCAATTTCAGAGCTCCTACTATAACAAGGTAATTCACAGTACTTACCCAAACCCACACAAGTGAGCCACTGCTTACAACATTTTCTCTCCACTTTAAACTCTTGGTTATAAAATTCCAGATGCTCAAATGCTTCGTGCCAATGAGAACCCATAACCAGAATACTCATGTTTGTTAATTCTCCTTGTCAAGCTATCAGATCATGTCATTTCAACTTCCACCAACATGTTTTAAACCTATTTTGGTTTTTGTTTTGTTTGTTCGTTTTAACAACTAGCATTAGTATATTAGCACAATCAGGCTCTACACACACAATACAGACTTACCTCAATGTGCTGAAACATGTATGGGTGGTTGCAGATTTTTCTCAACTGCATGATAGTGTTCATAAGTGTCTTAGCACCTCCTTTCCCCTAAGAATCAGTGGAAAGAGAAAAATAAAACTAATTATTCACTGGTCAGACATTTCAGATCTTTTAAACTGGGCTTCTTATACAAAGGACCAAAGGTTTTCTCAGTCACCTACACACTTTGTAGTTCAAAGCTTCTTTAATTATATAGCCGTTCCTGAGTTAGATATAATGTCTTTCTTGTGATTAACTTATCCTACCAAAAAAGTGAACCTTGAAGAATTATGTGTAGTCAATGGCTTTGTGACATGACTGTCTATTCCGTAGGACTCCAGAACGCAGAAGCACAGAACAGATGCCCAGGGAGTGAAACTGGATTTTAAAACCTTCTGAAATGCCACCCCACATTTAGGCAGAATATATTTGCTGCAAAATTGACATAAGCAGAGCTAACTATTTTGGTAATGTGAACATATTCCTTCTTTCTTCCTGCCCCAATGCAGCTAAGAGGTGAAGAGATTATCTTTGGCAGCTATAATAGCTCAAAGGAGGTCCAGTGATTTACTTTAACAAATCAGCATTAGCAGGGATGCTTCCTGTGAATATTCAATGTCACAGCCATGAGAAGACATATCACAGCACCTTCAGTTGCATCATCTTCCGCAACATACCTTCTTATCTTTCTCAGAACCATCTGTGAGGAGGATCCCCTTAGCCTGCATATGGCGATACAGAATCTTCTGCAGAGCTGACATGTCACACTTGATCACATATTCCACCTGCGGAAAAGAGAACAGTAAGTAGGCAAGAGCAGGAAGGAGAAGGCGCCTGTTCTAAGAAGACTGCTGAATCAGTGTCACTCCTGGAAGCACAAAGGTGTCTCTCTCTTTCTTGGATTCATGGAGTGCGGGGTGAGATGGGGGTGTTAGAAGAGACCAGAGTCGTCATTGTTAAAGGTACCATTATGATGGTGGGGGCTTCCAAAGGTTATATGTAATTGATGCTGGGGTCATGTTTTCTGAAATTTCTGGACTTGGTTCTAAATTTGAGAGAGAGAATGGCTTACAAACTGTTCAAATTCAAAAATGTTCAATATGGGATATTTTTAGTATTTCCTTCACTTCCCAATTATACTTCCTTTCCTATGAACAGAACGGTTATAGGAAAAGCAGTGACTGACAAATATCCTGTGATTTTCTTCGTGAAACATTTTTAAAGGGTCACATGTGGTATCTCTAATACTAGTCTAAAAGTGAGATTTATAACATCCCTAGGGTGACTACCATTAACTTCTACTCTTGAGAAATGGCAGGATGCAACCTAGTGAGAACAGGTGGAAGAGAGAAATTAATCCACAATTGGACACTACTTTATGGCCATCGAAAGGAGGACAAGGCCTCCTGTGCTTCCAGTTGAAATACCATCAAAATCCAGTTTTACAAAGTTAAGGGGAATTCACATGCTCATGGTTTATCACACACCTGCATACTTTATCATACTCCTAATACATAAAATCTGCCTTATTTCCTAGCATTGTTTTTCTTTATTTAAAAAAGAATCCCAAGAATACAAATGTGCAATTTTCATAATAAACATCAGATTAATGCCTAGAAATATGCAGAATGTGATTAAAAGTAAATCAGCAAGCTAATGTTTAATAAACTGATTTAAAATGATCACATTATTTGCAGCTCTGAAGGCCAGGGAGAACAGGTCACAAAGAACTTGAATATTCATTCAATTGTTGCTTTAGAAGGAACCTGTCAGACCAAATGGAACCATAATTAATAGTTTTTGGCCACACATTTTGATGCATCAAAGGAGATTAGCGAAAAGCTCGCTCTTTTACAGAAAAGTGGAGAAGTGTAAGTAACCCTCCAAAAACATGCTTCAGTTTTTAATGACCTTCTTGGCCAGGTGAAAGAAAAATCTCCAAGATTAATAAATAAGTGTGCATTTAACACAGGCTTTGTGTTTTAGAAAACTGATCATGTTATATGTTTAAAGTACTTGTCTTTTTTTTTAATATAAAAAATTTCTATAATTTGGCCAGGTGTGGTGACTCATGCCTGCAGTCCCAGCACTTTGGGAGGCCGAGGTGGGCAGATCACGAGGTCAGGAGTTCCAGACCAGCCTAACCAACATGATGAAACCCCATCTCTACTAAAAATACAAAAATTAGCCAGGCGTGGTGGTGTGCGCCTATAATCCCAGCTATTCAGGAGGCTGAGGCAGGAGAATCGCTGGAACCCAAGAGGCAGAGGTTGCAATGAGCCGAGATCATGCCACTGCACTGGAGTGACAGAGTGACACTCATTCAGGACATAGGCGTGGGCAAGGACTTCATGTCTAAAACACCAAAAGCAATGCCAACAAAAGCCAAAATTGACAAATGGGACCTAATCAAACTAAAGAGCTTCTGCACAGCAAAAGAAACTACCATCAGAGTGAACGGGCAACCTACAGGATGGGAGAAAATTTTTGCAATCTACTCATCTGACAAAGGGCTAATATCCAGAATCTACAAATAACTTAAACAAATTTACAAGAAAAAATCAAACAACACCATCAAAAAGTGGGTGAAGGATATGAACAGACACTTCTCAAAAGAAGACATTTATGCAGCCAACAGACACATGAAAAAATGCTCATCATCACTAGCCATCAGAGAAATGCAAATCAAAACCACAATGAGATACCATCTCACACCAGTTAGAATGGCGATCATTAAAAAGTCAGGAAACAACA